ACGGCGCGTCGCGCTGCGAAAATAAGATTCAGCTCTTAACGTTAGTCTTTAAACGTGATTACTCACCGTAAATAGTAAAAAAATGAAAAAAATATTTCCACCTTTTTCACAAAATATAAGTAATTCTGTTTACATTTTATGGTTAAATTGCTGCATTATACTTCCTATTTTACTATAATTGTTCGAGGGTGTGAACATACACTCCGTGACCCATAACATAGCATAGCAAGCAATGAATGTTAGACAACATTAATTCAAAATCGTCCAGGTTTTTTGCGATTTTAACTGAGTTGAGAAAGAATCTTAGCAGGTAAGAATTTCGACGATTTGTTTAGTCCGTTAGTTTCTTACTTTTAATGTAAAAAAATAGGATTCTTTTTTCTTACAAATTTACCATAGGAAAATTTCGTGACGTAATCCCTTTAACAGTGAATTCTTTTTTCTTCTTAGCAGAGACGCTTTGTGAAGTCATGACGAACTAAACGTTGCCTACCGATTTCCGTGCAGCTTTACATTAACACAAAGTATACAAATATCTACAAGAAAAATATAAAAGAAGAAGAGCAACGCCGGAAGAATGGGAATGTTAATGCTAAAACTAATGATAAGCATAATTTTGTTCCACGAATGCGGTTACTAGCCCACAGGTTGTTCCCGGGGTCACTGGCACAGTCATTATGCAAGAGATGGATATTAAGCACGATATTGAGTTCTTAACGACATCAAGCGACTCAACTTACTCTACTATTCGTTCGGAAATCTATATCCCTCGGCGAATCTCTCATCTCTCGGTTCCCGCCTCCCCCGCCACGGCACCGACCTCGTGCGACCGACGAGCGCACGGCGGAGACGGGCAGCCGTAAGGGAGACGCATCGCTTCACCTGCGCACCAACTGGAAGGACGCTGGACCGCCTCGTCGGCAGAACGGCGGCGCGGCCGCAGGCGCAGTGCGGCCGGTCGCGTGCGACCTACGAACGCGCTCCTGCGAGACATCGCCGCGTGGGAGGACGGGAGCGCCGAGACGCCGCCTCGCCGCGACTGCCTGCCCGTCGCCACGTCGCACGACGAGACGCTGCGCGCGCAGGCGCAGCCGGAGACGGCGCCGCTCGGTCCGCTGAACACGCCGAGTAGCGCGCGCCCGAGTCGGACTCGCCTCAACAGCCGTCGCCCGAGCTGCGACGGCTAGACGCCGTCCTCGGTGCGTCGCAACGACCCGCAGTCTCGGCGGCGGCCTCGTTAGTCCCCGTCTCGAGCGCTCGAGCGGGATCTGGAGCCCGAGCCGCATCGATCACCTCATCGCCGCACGGCTGACGCGGAATGAAGCGCGGCGCGGAGACAGGCTGTGCGACGTCAACCACAGATACGAGATCGCACTATCGTTGGACGCCGCCTCGCCGACCGCCAGGCGGAGCTGGAGTCGACGCGCGTCGAGCTGCAGCGCCACCTGGAGCGAGCTGCAGCGCGGCGTGCTGACGTGGACGACGAGAAGAAGGCGGCACTGCCTCTGGTGAGCTGCCGACGACACGGGCGGACACAGCGGCGCAGCTGCAGCAGGACAAGGTGAGCGAGTGTATAGTTGATGACGTGTGGGTAGGATGACCTGCCTAAAAATGTCTAAGAAAGTCTCTAATATTCATGTCATTCTTTAATTATAAGATGTATAAACGGCAGGGGAAATAGAATATAATTCTTTCGGGGGCTACTTTTCAAGACTCGCGTGGCCATTATGAAAATTAGCAGCTGCTGCAAATTTGGTTGTGCATTGAATCTATGCAAATTTACGGGGCGCTCTTTTTCGTGCCGCATGTGTCTTGGCGCTGCTTTTGGCCATTTTTCGGGTGCGATGAAATCGCCCCGAGCCCCCGTGTATGTTTTTTACACTGTATAACGGTATATAATGATATTATGGCCGACATATAACTGATAATAATAACTGACATGCGAGGCGGTCCAGCTCCTTCCAGTTGGTGCGCAGGTGAGCGATCGTCTCCCTTACGGTGCCCGTCTCCGCCGTGCGCTCGTCGTCGACGAGGTCGGTGCCTGGCGGGGGGAGCGGGAACCGAGAGATGAGAGATTCGCGAGGGATAGGATTTCCGAACGACTAGTAGAGTAGTGAGTCGCTGATGTCGTTAAGAACCAATATCGTGTTATAATGTCATCTTTGCATAATGACTGTGCAGTGACCCCGGGAACAACCTGTGTAGTGTCCCATCGTGGAAACAAAATTAGGCTTAACATTAGTTTTAGCATTAACATTCTCTCTTCCCTTCTCTTCTTCTTTTATATTTTTCTTGTAGATATTTAGTATAATTTTTTTATGTAAAGCTGCAAGGAAATCTGGTAGGACGTTTAGTTCTCATGACTTCACAAACGTCTCTCTAAGAGAAAAAAATCAATGTTAAGACTAACGTTAAAACTGAATCTTATTTCGCGCCGACTGGCCACGAACTCCCACACCCCCCGCACGGACCCCATCGTCGTCGTCGTCGCGGCGACCGCATCACTCACCTAGCTTGATGACGTTCTGCAGCTCAACCTCCTCCGCGTCTCGCTCGCGTTCCACCTCCGCGACCTTCGCTCTGTACTCGTCAAGGTCGAGGCTCGCGAGGTCGCTCGAGTCGAGCGTGGTGACGACGCGACGCAGCCAGGCGTCTGCCGCGTCGGCGCGCGAGCAGAAGTCGTCCAGCTTCCGCTGCACGTCATCCAGGTTCCCGCCGCGCCGAGCCACCTTCGCGTCGACGCGCTCCAACCTGCGCAGAACAGCCAGCCGCGTGAAACTCTTGTAAGAGTGGCAGTCATTGTGGTTGGAATTATAATTTATTTACTATTATTGTAAGTTATATAATTATAAAGTTAGAGAGAGAGAGAGAGTTACTATGTAAAGCACCATCGTTGATAATTTATTTACTATTATTGTGAGTTAAATAATTATAAAGTACTAATACACAGTACTATTATAATAAACTATGCGAGGTGGTGGCAACGTTTTCATATTTAACTAAAAAAAAGTACCTCCCTCCCTATATTCCCCCATACCACGTACTACATAACTACGGAACGAATTTCCTAAACCCACGATGGTATCCGACAGTCCTTGACATGACACCCCGCACACAACCCTTGCTACCTCGTCCTATCGGCGATATCCGACCATACTTGAAGGTGCCTAGTAATCTAACACCTACCTATGCACATGCAGATAATGTGATATATATAA